TTCTTGGCCTTTTCTGCATCCTCAACGGCCGTGTCCTCCTTGTTGGCCTTCTCAGCCTTCTCCGACACAATGGACCCAAGCGGTTCTTCGGCTTTGCCGCCCGGAACGAAGGAAGGCTGGACATCCATCGGTGGCGATCTAGTAGTCTAGCAACAGACCAGCCACTGGCCTCCATGTGGAAGGTGAGCTGCAGGTGGCTGCCACCGGCAACTAGCTGGACATGATGCTGCAGCTAATGCGTCTGAGTAGGCCGTGCATCTCTAAGACTCTGTCTGTGCGGGCGGCACACTTTCTGCAGCGCCACGCTACCAATAAGCAAACAACAAGCTTATTGTGACAGTTTGTCCGTTCTGCTGCTGCAATGAGCCGAGAAGGAAGAGCCATCGCTTGGCTATGGCTACCTTCCTGGATATGCCGACCTGGGATGTAGAAGCAAGCCGGTCTATAAAACATACTGGTCGGGTTAATTCACGCGACTGGGACGGGGCATGTACTGCATGACCGCCCTGCACAAACTCTGAATCAGGAGCCAACTGCGGAGACCTCAAGCGTCAGAGAAGCACAGTCGAGCGGGCTCTGCTGATGAACACCTGTCGAAACCCAGGAGCAGCTCTTTTTCCGCATGTGCGAACTCTGTTGGGCCTGGTACTGATGGGGCAGCCAGGTTTCAAACACAGGCATTCATTGCCGGGGGACACCCCCAAGACCACATAAACGAAGCTTGTGCCGTGTCGTTTATTCGGGTTGCAAGCTCATGCTTGAAGCACCCTTCAATCCACTCACAAAGCCCCTTGCTCGAGACTTAATCACTGCAGGGGGTCTGCGTGCAAAGCTAAACGATGCTCCGATCGCTAGGCAATTGAACAAAAGGCCAAGTCTTTCTGGCAAAGTGTTCAGAAAAAGAGGTGACAGTCAACGTCCACAGAATCTCTTGGAGACCGCTCTGACCGCGTTCCGAAACCCCACTGTACAAAACTAACTTGTAAACTAGTCCGCCCGAGTATGCATGTGCTCCGGGCTCGTTATGCCCAATTGACATCGAAAACTACACCGGCCCGTTGGGAAGATAGTCAAATACCTGCAGCCACGTGCCGCGACAGACACCGAAGTACGCGTGATACGGATGCGAAAAAAAGCGCGAGCTGAGGCCTGGTGCAGAGATTGCGGTACCTGAGCGACAGCAGCGACACCTACACTTCTCGCATTGCTGACTTTGGATAAGTGCTGGCCAAGCAGCTCCGTGACATCACCTTAGTTGGATCCAGTCTCCGTATCGGCAGGTTGCAGCATTGCAGCCGCAATGAGACATAAACACCAAGAAGCCGAAAGCCAGCACGTAGATGAAGAAGACATAGCAAAATGTTGCTGCTGCTTTGATCACCGTGAGCCCCCACATCTGACCTCGGCTCTACTTTTTGCTCAATGCGGAGCTCCGATGCTGAGCTCCACCTCTATAATGCCCAAGGCACAGTTCGCCGAATTATAGCAAAGCGCAATCTTGTACTGGTACAGCGTCAGCTGAACCTTCTCCTCGGAGCTAAGACCCCGCGATGCGAGCGTTTCTGGCATGCGCCAAGATTTGCCAAGTATCCTTGAACTTGAAGGAAGAGAAACCAGTAAACAGGATGGCGGGAATTTGCAAGATGTAGGTCAGTGTCAGCAACGGGATGATGAGGGATCCCATGGTGTGGGTCAGCATGAACATCTTTCCACCTGGCAGGAGGATGTTTGCTGGCGTAGAGGAACCTGTGATTGAGTCAAGCATTGAAGCAATAGAACTCTCTCCCACCGCAGCTCCGGTTTTCGTCTGGGCACATGTGATTAAATCCGTGCAACCCAACGCCCCTGCCTGTCCACATCAAGAAACTGGTGCAAACCAGTTCTCAGTCCGAAAGATAGCATTGTGAATCGCTGTATGACATCAGCCGCACAGTGACAAAACAACGGCCCTTAACCAATATCTTCCACAGTTCAGCCAAGAATCTTGGGATGATCACCAATATGATGCACGCCACTTTCATCATCAGACTCAGGGCATGCGATTTTTGGAGCCCTTCGGCAGGCAGCATCTACAACTCTCGTGGCCCCGTCTGTGTGCCTCATGTGGGAAACGAGCATCTTTCCATCGTCTCTCTCCTCCAGAAGAGAGGTGTGTTGGTTTTGTACTCTTGATGCACAAACCTCGACCAAGTTTATTTTTGTGTGATATTAGCTGAACCAAGCTCTGCACTTCTAAACGACGTGATAGTAGTAGTAGTAGTAGTAGTAGTAGTAGTAGTACCACCAGTAGTAGTAGCAGTAGTAGTAGTAGTAGTACCACCAGTAGTAGTAGCAGTAGTAGTAGTAGTAGTAGCAGTAGTAGTAGTAGTAGTAGTAGTAGTAGCAGGAGCCGTAGTAGTAGTAGTAGTAGTAGTAGTAGTGTAGTAGTAGTAGTAGTAGTAGTAGTAGTAGTGGTAGTAGTAGTAGTAGTAGTGGTAGTAGTAGCGGTAGTAGTAGTAGTACTACTACTACTACTACTACTACTACTAATAATAATATTAATCATAGTCATAGTACTAGTAGTGGTAGTAGTAGTTGTCGTCGTCGTAGTACTACTACTACTACTACTACTACTACTACTACTGCTACTACTACTGCTACTACTACTACTACTACTACGACGAATAACTTCTAGTAATACCAGTAGCATAGGTACTAATAGTCATACTAGTAGTACTAGTCGTACGTACTAGTCGTGGTGACGCTGGTGGTAGCAGTACGAGTACTAGAACTAGTACTAGAGATAGGAAATAATAGTCATAGTCATAGTCGTAGTAGTCGTAGCAGTAGTAATAGTTAGTAGTAGTCGAAGTAGTAGTAGTAGTAGTAGTAGTAGTAGTAGTAGAAGTAGAAGTAGTAGTAGTAGTAGTAGTAGTAGTAGTAGCAATAGCAGTAGTAGTAGTAGTAGTAGTAGTAGAAGTAGTAGTAGC